AAATCGGGTAACAGTATAATTGTTCATCCCACATTTCTTTTTCACAGGTTTTCAATTAAAACGTTTAGCCATCTTCATACTATTTGTTGTAAGAATTACTGAAAAACCCTTTGAGTTATTCAGCTAGAAAGAGAGCAGGTTAAAATTGTTTTGTGTTAGACCCACTATTTTCCCAACTGAACAATGGTGGGATGATACAGATCATTCGGGCCTTCAGTAATGGTAACAACATTCATACTCTGGATTCCATCTTCAAATTCCATTCAAGAACAATTAAGAGAACGCTGAATAATTTTAAAAAAGAGAGAACAGTAGAGACAAAAACTGGATCAGAAGATCACAACTGGATCATCATTTAAACTTAGAACTTAGAAGAAATCAATTAGAAAAGATCCAACTCAATTCATAAGACGTTTGGCACGTGAGAGAGGAGTTTCAGTTATGACGGTCCAAAGATCAATGAAAAGAAAACTTAAAAATGAAATCGTACGTGAAACCTGTGAGGCACATTGTTACTCCAGGACAGAAAATTAGAAGGTTAGAGAGGGCGAAGTTCCTCTTGAGTAAATTGGAAGATGATCCTGGAATAAGATATATATATATTTGAACTTTATTTCAGTACGTCATGAGCTTCCGATCATTAGTTATGATTAATTAAACATGAACATGTCATTTTCATTTATGATCGATTTCATCACAATTCTTCTGTTAAGCTTGGTGATACATGCTTATTGCTCAAGGTAAAGTCTAATAGTATTATAAAAACCTCAGAGAATTCCAGTAAGATACTATTAATCATTTCTAAGATACAACGGTTCAAAGCTTAATCTAACAAATGGATAATTTTGCTGTTACACGATTTAGACAATTTTACTATTACATCCGTTATATATATATATATATATATATATATATATATATAGTTGTATATTTAGGCAGCAATCCTTCATTTATGCATGTTTCATTAAAAACGACAGACAAGGTACTACGGTTAAGCTTTTTATTTAATTTTTCTTTTTTATGTGGTTGTTTAACCAATGTAATTATTTATGAGTCCGGTTTGATTAGGAACACAGTTCCTTAAGGGACATTTGAACACATAGATAACAAACATTACCTATGAGTTCAAATGCCCCTTATGCCCTCATCGGTTATACAACCACATGCTTATCCAGACGTCTTACGTTACACCTATCTGATCACAGCTCCATTAGAACCCATTTAAACACAAACACAAATTTACCCGACTTCATTAGGAACATACTAGTAAAAAACACAAATATATTAACTGCATCTACCTTAAAAAAAACTAAAAATAATGGAAGCTTTAATAATAAAAAAAGAAAAAGTCAACTCTTAACAATATTAACTATGAATAAAGCCACAATGTGCTAACCGTATTCGGAAATTAAAAACATCACTACCACACACTGAACATACACAGAACACACACACACTCTACTAAGTTGATAATCGAATCATCCTTGATAATGGCTAAAGGTATAGCCGAAAACGCTCGGAAATATAGAACATTTGGACAGTTCTTACACACCCTTTGTCCAGAAAAGAAAGCTCTTGTTCGAACACAAGAAAAATTAAATAAAAAGCTTAACCGTAGTACCTTGTCTGTCATTTTTAATGAAATATATATATATATATATATATATATATATATATATATATATATATATATATATATGGGGGGTGCGAGAAAAGGCTGTAGTATACCAGTGAAGTTAGTCTGTCTGTATTGAGTATTAGTATTCAAAATCTTTTTTTAAACGCAATCCCGAATATCAAGTACTGGCACCGGTAGACGAGTCTTGGACACAGTGAAGGACTGAATCGATTTTGTCTTAATAAACGATGTGAATTTATAGCACAATCCTTACAAGAAAATCCTTCACCAGTCATTATAGACGGGCGCCACACGATCATAAACCAACTCTGTTAAATAACAGAAGTCACATGATTTGAAGACTTTCAACAGCAGTAACAACAAAAATGGGTAGAATGTATAACTAGATGCGAAACTAATGATGTTAACTTTCAACACTAACAACAACCAAGTTTTAGAAGGAAACTCCTCTCAGTATTAGAAAGAGCAATAACAGTAAATGCCTATTTCCCTGAAAAAGAATATTTGAGGAAAAAAGATTTTATAAATGTTAACTAATAAATATCAAATGTTGCTATAGTAAAGGTTAATATTAGCATTACTATTACCATTAATATTAGCATTACTATTACCATTAATATTAGCATTACTATTACCATTAATATTAGCATTACTATTACCAAATGTACTATTCACAGAAGTTATTTACTGTAAGTTCTCAGTAGTGAAGGGCAAATTATAAGGATATATAGGATAAATAATGGGTAACCTTAGACTTGAAGATATTAAAATTATCTTAAAACGGCATAAATTTTTAAATTTACATGAATTAAAATAATTATAACCTCTTCAAGTCTAAGATCATCCTTATCTATCCTACATATCTTCATAATCTGCGCTTTTTACTTCCATCGTCCATAAAACATCATCATTCAGTAATCTTCTACCTTGATTGTCTCTTGGGCCTTGTATTGTGTGAACACTAGTGTAAAAAAGCAATCACTTGCGTGTATAGATTAGAGGTTAAGGAAATTGACAGCTGCAATAATATATCTAATTTCGTATCGATACATAGATTTGAACGACACAGTGTAGAGAGAAAGGGAATAGGCATATTTTGTTGTTCATTTTGTTAAATATCGTCGTATAAAAAAATAATTTGTCCCTGGGTCCGAATATTGACATGTCGGGTAGGGGTTGTTGATGTTCAGTTTAAAAATATTATTATTTTATTTCGTCTAATATTTAATTTTGTTTCTTTTTCTGGAAATGCAAGTTTCATTCATTTGCTGACCCACTGAACCATGCAAGCAATAGATGAAGAAAAAAAAAGAAAAAAAAAGAATACAAAATAAAAACAAGCCAGTCACGTTGCATAGTGAACTCACGTTGCATAGTGAACTCTCGTTTGAACTTTGAATAATACCGACTTAATCAAATTTGTAAGTGATAAACCTTATTTCTTCATTACAAAAGTCTTGTATTAGGTTACATGGAATTGGTTCAGTATATCAGTGGAATTCAATTAAATGAACTAAAATCAACGAACTATTTTATTAGTTCCAAAGTCCTACCAAGATTCATTATTGGCGGCGAAAATCTTAGCAACATTAGATATGCAGATGACATAGTTTTTGATAGCAGACATAGAAAAGGAAACCACAAGAACTCTTATAGAAAGTAGAAAAGAAAATCGAGAAAAAAAAGGACCAGACGTCAATTTTAAGAGGACAGAATGGATAGTTATCAGCAAAAAGAAACAGCTCAAGAACAAATTACAATTTATATCGGAGATACCAAAATCAAATAAGTACAAAGATTTAAACATTTAGGATACGTCTTAAAAGAGGACGCAAAATGTCACACTGCAATCCGATGGCCAATACTGATAGCGAAAGGGCTGTAAGAAACATGAAAATTTATTTAGAGACATAGAAAGGAACTCTGATCTGTATTATTGTGGACAGCAAGACAAACCGGGTTCTATAGCCTTGGATAGCAACTGGTCTACCGCAAAAAGAAATGGCAACCTACTGCAGAAAAAAAATCTGCCTCGTCAGTCATGTATCAAAAGATTCATGATCGCCTAGGTGTGTATCACGCATGGCACATAACTGACTGATTGACTTAACAGAGGACGCAAAATGCCACACTGCAATCCGATGGCCAATACTGATAGCGAAAGGGCTGTAAGGAGACAGAATATATTGTTGTCAGCAAAACGAACAGCCCAACATGCGATTTGAAAATTGAAGGCACCAAAATTAAAGAACGGCAAAATTTTAAATATCTTGGAAGTGTTTTAATAGAAGATGGAAAATATGACACTGAAATCCGAAGGTACATTCTGATAGCGAAAGTTGCCAAAATACTAAGAAACATGAAGATTTCGTTAGAAACATAGAAACGAACACTGATTTGTATCATTTTGAACATATTGCTATAAAATGAGTAGGCCGGCTCAAAATGGCAAACTCCGGTGTACTGGTCAGAATTCTGATGACCCGATCTGAGTGTAGAGTAGTTTGAACCCCATCATTTGTGCGTGGAATCCTGAGAGTCTTTGTTTAAATTTTAATATAAGACCAAAGAATAGAAGGGTGAAGACGTCTCACCGCTCCCAGATTCCTTAGTCAGACAGGCAACTCCATGATGGCTAGTTAGCCAACCTGTTGTCATATGTCCTTTCTCTCCCCTTCTCACTTCCTCCAAGAAACGACTACGAGTTTTCACTCTGAAATAAAACGAAGGAAAAAAATTTAAGCCTTGTTTATATAATATATGGTGTAGCGCTGAAGACCTGAAGAAATGCAGCTAGACCACGAGAAGTCAAAGAAGACATGCAATACAATAATATTTCTAAGTAGAAATATGAATGTGCGCGAATATATGTATTTAATTAAGTTATACGTGTGTGAGTGCTGTATGTATACGTTGTTCGCGGGCATGTAATGTAATTCGTTTGCAGGTGTTTGTATATTGTGCATATACTTTAATGTCTACATATGTTTGTGCGTGTCTGTCTGTCTGTCTGTCTGTGTGTGTGTGTGTCGTGTGTGAGTTTCTATATGTGTCTATATAGTGATGTATTTACGCATTCATAGATGTTAAAATACTTCTCTCTGTTCTGTTTGCATAATATATGTTCAATATCGATATTCCAGATTATATGAGAATTTTCTTAAGATATTTTCTTAATATTTTGGCCGCTAGAAGCTTTTTCCATGATTGCTTTGTTATTCAATCCGTACTTCCCCACTCTCTCACACCATATCTTCTGCATATCCATCTCTCTTCCATTTTGTACGAAGCCCAGACAATCACTGAAATGCCAACCTGCTTCACTATGAATAACTGACAAATTGTACGCCAACATTGCCAGTTACCGAACCAATATTCTTCTTCTTCTTTTTCTTTCTTTCTTTCTTTCTTTCTTTCTTTCTTTCTTTTGTAACTTAGGGAAGGTTACTGAATAATTACACGAAGGTTGGTAATGAACAATAATACTTGGGACAAGAACAACACATATAAGATTCACAGCGGCACATAGAAATAGCCAACTGCTAGAAGTGAGTCAAGTGAATTCCAAAATGAATCTCCAACTGCAGGATATCTACCAACCGCCCTACGCGGTCGGTCAGATGTGACACAAAGCCGAATTTAATGTAACCCGTAAACCCAGTATAAAACGGGGTCGGGTAGCTGTTTCCCGAGACGAAACTGATCTTCGACATAGCGTCGTCTGTGGATCCTCTCTAGAAGTTACTACTGTCTTTTTCTGGTGCTAAGTATAAATGCCCTTTTTATTTTCATTTTTACTAAAACGTCGTCGTCGCTCTCGTGTTCAGTCCATGGCATTCTCATCATCCTTCTGTAGATATTCTAAAATATATTTTGAACTTTTATAATCCACGTACACGTGATGTCACAAAATTTCAGAAACAAAAAAAAAAAAATAAAAATAAACAAATAAATCATCAAGCTCGCATGAAAACACAAGCAACCCAAAAATCAAAATTAAAAAGCATTACAAAGACACAAACATTGAATTTCATTTAATTTCTTTCTTTTCTTAATACATCCAATACAAGGACGGAGAGCCACTCAAGGCAAAGGGTTTCAGTCAGAAAATTGGTAATACTGAATCAGGTGTGTGATATGAATGCAAAAGAAGGCAATAAGAAGGGAATATTGCAAGGATAAGGAGGATAGATAACATTTGACCCTTGATAAAAAGATCAAAACTGAAGAGTCCAGGGAATCACTCACGCGGGAATCTGTTCCACAAAATACCAGTTCTTAAGTAAAAGCTGTGGGAGTGAAGCTTTCTTCTTACATATAGGACACGGGGGAAATGAAGATAATTCGACTCCGTTGAAGTGGCTAGCTGTAAATGTTTGAACTGGTGGGGCTAAAGAACGGAGCTCGTCTGAACCTTTGCTATGGAGACTGGCTTGCAGCGCCGCGTATGTGGGAAAAACTGAACTCTAGCACGGCTGGAGCAGTGAGGACTCTTTTGATAATGAGTGAAATCAATTGAAAGCGCAATTACGGATAGTGGACAGTTCTTGTACACATTCAACGCCATGACACGGAAACTAATTCTCCAACAAGAAAAAAAAACTTATCAAAAATATAATCGACATTATTTGCTATCGTTAACAAAACTTGATTGATTGAACATTACTGCCTACTGCCGCGACATTACTCATCTAGATACGTGACTGCCTAGATGAGCGACAAAAACGTTTTACAGAAAAGGGTATTAAGATGACAGTTATACTAAAAATGCAAAAAAGATAAAACTCGAAATATTTGAGACATAAAAAGAAGACAGTTTAGAGAATTTAACACTCCCAAGGTATATGGAAAGCAGCGGCAAACACAGCAAATGAGCTATCCAGTGAAAGGGTGACAGAGCGGGAACAAAAAGATCGGCTAAAGTTTCAAAAGTTGCTTAGAACTACAAGGGTACGTTCATTGTTGAATGATTTTAAGCTTAAGTGAATTTTATATATTCTCAAGTTTGTCATGTACATATCAGTACATTCTATATATATGAATTTTTAAGGGTGAAAACGCGTCATAGAAAATCTTTTTCACTTTGTCATACATCTTCCCTTCACACACACACACACACACACTTCAGTTCTCAAGTAGGCATCTACGCAAATGACACTACCACTGACTCCTTCCTCAATAGTAAATCCTGCATTGCTGACAAAGTTAACCTGGCCGATGGTCTCGAAAACGACCCCCTCCATCTGTGGTTGAATGGGGCAGGAAATGGCCCCGAGAATTTTTATGCATCCAAAACGGAACTGCTCTCATTTACCCACCATAGAGAACCCTCCCTGCCTCCTATCAGCGTGGCTGATGCCCAATTCCACGTGAGCATCTCTCTGTGCCTTCTTGGTCAGGCGTTTTCCACTCACCTGAGGTGGAACAACTACACTGAATCAATAGCTGTATCTACCTCAAGGAAAGTTGGTTCTCAGTGTCGCACCAGAAGTTTCTTATCTGAGTTCATCCTTCAAATCTAAAAATCTACTATTCGTCTTTGCATTTAATACTGTTGTCATATATGGTCTGGTGCCCCCGTTGGTCATCTCGAGGTTCTCGACTAAATCCAAAGACGCATATGAAATGTGATCGGTCCTGACTTGGCGTCTCGACTCCCCAACTGCAAGAATTTAAGCGTGCTACTAGGTAGAAATCTCGGTCCCACCATCTTACTGTTGAAACAGTTAGATGTAACCGCCTCTTCTACTCCAACAGCTTCTTCTCTCGCACTTCCTGGCAGTGGAACTCCCTTCCACTTACTTGTTTCCTTGATAACTATAGTCTTCAAAAATTTAAATGTAATTTCAATCGACATCTTCTGTTGCCTCGATCCCCATTCTTCATTTTATCCTTTTCTCACCCCCCCGCCTATACCCAGTCTTTTCCCTTACTCACACTCTATGTAACCCCTTGCGTACTATTGGTACTCTTGCCTTGCTTGGGTGAAATGATATATATATATATATATATATATATATATATATATATATATATATATATATATCACTTTAAAAATCAGGAGATCAAAAAAAATAATGAACGCTATATTATTTAAAAAAATGAACAAACACACGACGTTGGGTGTAATATAAAGGATATGAAAAAGGAAGGAGAAGAAGAAAAGAAGAAGAAGAGGAAAGAGAAGAAAAGTAAGGGCATTATAAAAGTATCGGTGGGGGGTGTTAATTGAAATGTAATTTTTTCTGTTTGTTTATTTTTTTTAAATAATATCACGTTCATTAGTTATTATTTTTTTTTTTTAGATTAAAGCGTTAAGAGATCATTTGATCAAAAATAGCCTGAGGATATCGTAAGGTTGAAACCAAGGTAGCGTATTCAACTGATCTCCTGATTTTTAAAGTTAAAAGCTCTATATGTTATTTTCATTTTATTTTTTTTCACACGTGTATTAAGCACTTTTTAATAGTACTGTTTCCTGGTCTGATTCAACTATGACAATTAACCTTATATATATATATATATATATATATATATATATATATATATATATATATATATATATATATATATATATCAGATATGTTTGGTTAAATAATATGGACAAGTCTTTCAGTTCTTTTAATTAAATTTTCAAATTTTCAAAAATTCAAATTATTTCATTTTATTTTTTTCAATTAATTTCGAATGTTGCTCCATTCGCTTTTGAGAATTGTTCTTTGTGTATTTACGCAACTGTTTTTTTTTTTTAATTCCGGTGTTTGATGGAACCATTTTCAAGTCACTAAATGGGATGTCATGTAAATGGTCAAACTTAAAAGTTTTGTATCTTTTTTAACACACTTCAATATACGGTTTTCTATAGAAAAGGTACGATTTTTTTTTCCCTGTATATCATATATATATATATATATATATATATATATATATATATATATATATATATATATATATATATATATGTGTGTGTGTGTGTGTGTACACGTGTACACGTGTGTATGTGTGTGCATGTTTCAGTGAGTGCAAATCAGTATATTTGTAGCAGGCATGCACAAGTAAATGTGAATATTCTATTGCAAGTAGAATACGTGTGACTGCCTGAACTTCATGCATAAACGAAGTGAGATGCTAATATAGAAGCGATGAAGACATGGCGGTAAAAACAAGTGAATAGAGAAATTGAACGGGTTAGAAGCAGAAGGAGAAGGGAAAGGGGGAGACAATTCGATATTTTAATGACGTAAGCGGAAGTTGAATAGAGACGTTATTGAACAGAAAGATTAATGGATTGAATTAGCGAATCAAATTAAACAGATGCAAACAGACTGAGACGAACGAAAAGACACGGATATGAACAGGCTGAATCAATGCATTGATTTAAGTCTCTTGTGAGAAAAGTAAAGATGGTTTCTAAGATTGGCACTGAAATAGATCAAGACGAGTAGTTGTGGATCGAGCAATGGATAATACATACATAGATGATAAGGATGATGATGATGATGAAAGGAGTTTCTGCTTATTTCATGCGTGCTGTTTCTTTCTTCAAGAAGTGGATTTTGAAACTACACGTCAGTTCAATACTTATATCTCCATCCTTTACTATAACACTGAGCCGTAGTCGTAATTGCATTGATAAAATTAAAATACTAATATCTGGCGAAGTGGCAACATTTTCAAGAGTATAATATCATCGTGGATCCTCACAGATTAAATTAATTTCTATTGGATTAAAATTAATTTCTATCAGCAGTTAACATAGACTAAATAAATAAAAAAAACGTTATGATGATTTCACTTTTTTTTTTCATAAAAGAGAATGGGGAAAATTATATATGATCTCGTTATAGGAACATTGTGTTAGAAAACACAAACAAGAGTGTTAAACTGATATTTAATATCAATCTCCATATATGGCAGTGAATTGCTAGACAATTTCTTCAAAGATGAAGAAGTGACTTGAATCGACAGAGAAGATACACTACAAACGTATGCTGAAACGACCATGAGCTAAATATATAAGCGACAATGACGTTTTAAAGAAAATGGAGCTAACATGATAGTTGTGCTTAAAATACAAAAAGATAAAACAGATGAAATTTTTGAGACGTAAAAATAAGAAAGTTTAGAGAGTTTAATATTCACAAGGCATACTGAAGGCAGTGGTAAACAGCAAGGGATCTTTTTTTCTTTCTTTTTTTTAAGCATTCAACCCCAAGCAAGGGTTTCAGAGTAGGAGTGAGAACAAAGAGGAATGATAGAGGAAAGGATGTAGAGACGGTTAGGGGATAGATCAGGGCACCCGGAGGCGTCGATTGACGTTACATTTAAATAGTTGGAGATTATAGTTATCAGGAAAACCTAGAAATGGGGAGGGAGTTCCACAGGCGAGAAGTGCGCGACATGAAGCTATTGGAGTAGAAGAGACAGCCACATTTAAC